AGGCTTTCTACTCCCGTAAAGATTTACACCCTCGGAAACCCTGTACAGGGTCGCTATGGGTCGGAACCGACTCGACGGCACTTAACAACAAACAACAACAACATGGTATATATACTTTCAACTTTAAATATTGCCTAATTATTTTCCAAAGTTGTTTGATTAATTTTCATTCCCACCAGTATTTGTGTGATAGTTTCCCATTTCCCCATGTTATTGCCAATCCTTGGTACTGTCTGACATTAACTTTGGACAACCTGATAGGTATGAAGTATTATATTTGTTTCAGTTTGCATTTTTCGAATTTCTAGTGATTATTAAGCATCTTTTTTTAATGTTCATTGGCTATTGGTGATTTGCCTATTCATAACCTTTGTCCATTGTTCTGCTGTCTGTCTGACCTGTCTGACTGTCTGAATGTTTACTGTCCTTTAGATATTCCAGATACTAATCATTTGCAAATATCTTCTAGTCTGTGGCTTGTTATTTTGTTTTAGTGGCTTGTTTTTAAATTTTGTTTGCAGTGTCTTTATCTTGCAGAAGTTTTCATTTTCAGTTAGTCATATTTATCAAAATGTCTGTTTTTTATGTCTTTTTAAAACATTTCTTCCCTATGCACAGATCATAAAGACTTTCTTCCACATTTTCTAAATGTTTAAAATTTTTGCTTTTACATGTTTATAATTAAAATTAAGTTGAAATGTATTGTTATACAGTATGGGACACTAATTTGTTTTTCTCATATGCATAATTAGCTTTCATATATTTCTTCATTGACTTATAATGCTATCTCTATTTTATATGAATGAGTTTAGGGGTTCTCTATTATCTTCCATTCTGTCTTATTCTACACAAAATACTACATAGTCTTAATTATTATACCATAAAATAATTTCTGGAGTCCTTGTGCAACAGTGTGAGATAAGCACTGGACTGCTAATCCCAAGGTTGGCAGTTCAGATCCACTCCTTGGAAACCCTACAATAACAAAATAATTCCCAGTGCCTGGTATAATGAGCCATCCTCACTTCATTCTTTCTCATTTTATTCTTGACCCTTTAGATTTCCATTTGATTTTTAGGATCAGTTTGTTAAATTCTCTATGAGGTTTCTAGCTGGAATTACATTAAACTTATAGATTTATATAAGAAGAACTGGCATCTGCATGATATTGAATCTTTCCATCTATGAACATGTTAATCCTTCAGTAAAGTTTCATCATTTTGTTCATGAATGTACTTGATATGGCTAGATAGATTTGTTCCTAGATACCTCAAAGTTTTTGTTGCTACGATGATAGGGTCCTTTTTAAAGATTTTTTTTTCTTATTGAGCATTGTTGTGAACGCTGATTTTTAATCCAGTACTTTTTTAGTTCTAGTAATTTGTCTTGGTCATTTTTATGTATGACAAATTGATTTCTATAATTCATCAATAATTTTATTTAATATGTTTTTGCTATATCTTTTGTCTTTTATGATACTTTTATGTTAAATGTTAGTTCTAAGTTCAAAATGTTTTTCAAGTTGTCTAAAAATAAACAAAACTTAAGAGTAAATTTACAATATAAAAACCAGAAATTCAGCATACTTCAATTCTAAGGCAATAATACATAAAATATTCTTTTATCAGCTATGTAACAACAAAAGCAAAAGTATCTTGGAATATTATATAACTTACACTACGACTGCCTTTCTTCTCTGATTAACTTGCTTATTTTTTTTTATATATTGATAATTAAGTGGTGTCTTTTCCTTTCAGTAAAATCATCAATTCTTTTCATTCAAAGAACTATTTCCCAATAATACTCCATAAAAGATAATTATTTTATATTGCTAATATATGTCTTATAACTAAATTTGTGTCTCATTTCTGAATTCCAGTAATGAATATTTTATCCCCTTCTTTGGAAATTACTTTCTGCATAAAAATCCACTAGTGTCTTACTTTACATATGTCCAAGGCCACAGAATTGTGTTCCTTATATGTAATGTGTATTGTATATATGGAAGTTAATGATTTAATTTAATATTTTCATTATAAATATTTATTTTTTAGAATTCGTATAGCAAATTGGGATCAATTTTTTAATCATTTTTATAGGCTGCATGCTATACTTTTTTTTCCTCTGACTGTTCTTTTCCAAATTATCTTTAATTACCATATTGAAATGAGTTTTACTAATTGAACAGATACGTCATCTTTGAAGATTACAGGGAAAAATTTAAATAATCAGTGAAGAGTCTAGCTTCATTAAGAAATGTCTTTGTTAATTAGAACTTTTTTGTTTGATTTTAGTTTGTTTACTTTGATTTGTTTCAAGTGAATTTTGAAATAGATGGAGCATTTTGTGACATTTGTCTCCCTTTTTGCCCCTGGGTTCAGACTGTAGACTGTACTCCACTCCACACTCCAACCTTAAGGAAAAAGGGATGTCCTGGCTCAACTGGCTTTCCACCCAAGGTACTCAATCCAGTTCTTAAGAATCGTGTGCTCTTTTTTTAAAAAATTGATTTTTTTTCTCTGCATTGTGTAGATGTTGTGATTTTTGCTGTTGGTTTTTTTCAGTTACAAACATAAAAGCTTGAAAAGAAAATAGATTCTATATTAAAAGATTTACTAAGCCGTAGAGAAAGATAGGATGAGTATATAAAATTGTTTTGGTTTCTTTCCCATCTTTGTAAAGTCATTTTTTTAAACCAGTTCTTGGAGAATGTGTCATAAGGAAGATGTTAAGATGAGACCACTTGTGGAAAAATCAGATTGCATTTAATAGACAACTTAGTAAGAAAGAGAAACATTTAATGAAAACTCCGTGAGCATCTTTTTTTCTATTCTATTCAGCATTATGGTGGTAGTGGTGTGGTGGGTATGTGCCGTGGAGTCAGTTCTGACTTATAGCGACCCTGCACAGGGTTTCTGAGGCTGTAAATCTTTATGGGAGCAGAAAGCCTCATCTTTCTCCCACGGAACAGCTGGTAGTTTTGAACTGCTGACCTTGAGGTTCGCAGCCCGATTCGTAACCACTACACTACCAGAGTTCCTTTAATAGAGGTGCCTAAAGTATTATGTATGGTGGAACATGAAGAGTTAGTTGCTTATCTCAAGCTCTTAAAAATTCATTTTAGAAATCAGAAAGCTGCAATTATCTCTTCCTGAACTAAACCTTAGAACCATAGATTAAAGGGAAATTGATAGATTTGAGAAACTAATAAAATACATTAAAAGTGTAGCTAAGTGCCTTCCAGTTGGTTCCAACTCACAGAAACCCTGTATAAAGTTTTTGAGGAGGAGCTGGTAAAGTTGAACCACCGACCTTGTGGTTCAAACTGACCTTGCAGTACAGTGCATTATCCTATATTACCATACCAGGAGTAAGTACTATTAAAAGAAAGCAAACTAAACCTATGACCAGACAGAACATGAGTTTGACGTAAGCATAAGAAATATTCACAAAGGACTTTATAATGTGAGATATGATAAGGCATTTATGAACAAAAATAAATTAGAAATACTCAACATGAAATTTAGCAGCTGAAAGAACTCAATAAATGAATTTAATAACAATTTGTATAGACCAAAAAACACATGAATGACGCAGAAGATGAGGTGTAAGATATAAAGTAAAGATTTAGACAGAAATAGTATTAGTATCCATATAGAAGGACTTTCAGAAGGGAAGAAAAAATAGATGGAAATACGTGAAGAAATAATGACTTCAAAAATTTCCCAGAGTTAAAGATTAAAGACTTCATGTAGAAAGATAAGTAGAAAGATATCAATAGGTACTATAGAGAATAGATAAGAAAAAACTAACATTATAATGAACTTTAAGGCTATTGGATCAAGAGAAAATTCTAAAAACTTTTAGAGAGAGAACAGATCTGAGTAAAAGAACAAAAATTAAATTTGCATCAGGTTGCTGAAAAGCAGCCCTAGATTTAAGAACACAATTAAGAAATGTGTTCAGAGTGTTGAACAGAAATAATTTGAATCCAGAGACAAACAATGAGATTCTGAATAAGTTGAAGGAAGCAAATAGATTAGCAACTAAAAACTGTACATTTATACTGGTAGATGGAAATCCTGTCCATTGAATGGAAGGCAGGAAAGGGAAATAAAGAATGAAAGATAATATGGTGACCCAGTAATCTTGGTAGCTTAGAGTAACATTTTTTATAATACTTACTATTTTATGTTATAATTACGGGAATTACTCATTAAGGAGTCTCCCCAGAAGTTGGAGTGAGCTATCAGCTGAGCCTACAGTTATTTGACGGTTCAACTGCACTTGACACCCAAAGTGGTTCACAGCCATAGCAGGCAGTTAATGCTGGCTTCAACAGCTACTCGTGGTCTCTCTAGTGTGACAGTCTCAGTCTTCTTACATGGCATCTGGGTTTTCTTAAAAGTGAGCTTACCAAGAGAACTGGTGAAAACTGCATGACTTACAGCAAAAGTACATGGAAAGGTTGAAAATAAAGGAAAATTGGAGTCACAGATATGAGGGGGCCTCAAAAAGTTTGTGGAAAAATGGAATTAAAAGGTAATGAAATTTTTCTATAAACTTTCTGAAGCCTTCTCATATATAATAAAAAATGTAATTAAGGTAAAGCATCAAGACATAAGAGACATTGGATATTTATAAAGGAAATAGTAAAAAATATATATAATGGTGATGAATGTATATGGACCTAACAATAAAGGCAGGAACTGAGAGAATGGGGACAGAAACATATTAGAAACAAATTTTAATGCATATTTCTCAAACAAGAATATAATAGGAAATTCAAAGCAGAGGTTGGAGTATTAATATCAACTAACTCAGTGGCACTTAACAACAACATCAACTGGTTAAAAGCTAAGAATAAGCTTATGAACAAAGTAAAATGGCCAAGAAACTATTGTTGTTGTTGTTGTTAAGTGACATCGAGTCGGTTCCAACCCATATCGACCCTGTACAGGGTTTCTGAGGGTGTAAATCTTTACGGGAGTAGAAAGCCTCATCTTTCTCCCGTGGAGCGGCTGGTAGTTTCAAACCGCTGACCTTAAGGTTCGCAGCCCAATTCATAACCACTACGTTACCAGAGCTCCATAAGAAACTATACAGATGCTCAAATTTAATATAGAAGTTGGGGGAGAGCAAATTAAAATAATAATGAGGTATACCTTTCCATTTAAGGAGCTCTGGTAGCGTAGTGGTTATGAATTGGACTGTGAACCACAAGGTCAGCAGTTGGAAATTACCAGCTGCTCTGCGGGAGAAAGATGAGGCTTTCTGCTCCCATAAAGATTTACAGCCTCAGAAACCCTGTTCAGGGTCACTATGGGTCGGATCCGACTCCACGGCACATAACAACAACAACAACCTTTCCATTTATGGCACAACACAGATACTTAGGATTTTGAAGAAAACCCCACTATCCTCTGCAGATAATTACTCCTTTTATGAAACAGCTTTTGTTTTGTTACTGGCCTTAGTGGAGACTGAATGCATAACTACGAGCCAAGTCACCACGCAGCCTGAGCTGCCCATCATGAACCAGTGTTTTCTCGCCCTCAGAATCATAAAGTTGGATGTACACAGTAACACCCCTTCATTAAATGGAGGTGGTACATATACAATATCACGCTTGAGTAGGACCTGAAGGCCTGAGGAAGTGGCCGAAATCCCCATAGCCTCTACTCCTGTAACATTAACTTCCCTCTTGCAGTCTGTCCCTATGGCCTCCTGGGGAGTTCCTTATGTTCACTTGACCGAGGAAGAGAAATCTCATGCTTGGTTTACACATGGTTTTGCATGGAATGCAGGTATCACTTTAAAATGGACAGCATCAGTACTACAGCTCCTTTCTGAAACCTCACTGAAGGACAGTGGTGAAGGGAAATCCTGCCAATGTGCAGAACTTCAAGTAGTACACTTGTTTTCTCATTCTGCTTGAAAGGAGAAATGACTAGATGTGCAACTGCATATTGATTCATGCTCTGGCCAATCGCTTGGTTGGGTGGTTAGGGACTTGGTGGAAGGAACATGGTTGGAAAATTGATGGCAAGGAGGTATGAGGAAGAGGAAGGAATGTGGATGACCTCTCTAAATGGGCCAAAGAAGTGAAGATATTTGTGTCTCATGTGAACATGCATCAAAGGATTACCTTGCAAAGGAGGATTTTAACAACCAAGTGGACAGGAAAAAATGTTCTGTGGAAACTAATCCTCCTCTTTCCCCAGCCACTCCTGTCATTACCCATGAACAAAGTAGCCATGGTGTCAGGGATAGAGGTTATACCATGGACTCAGCAACAAGGACTTCCACCCACCAACACTAACTTGGCTACAACCACTGCTGAGTGTACAATCTGCCAGCAGCAGAGCCCAACACTGATTACTTGCAGGTTGATTACATTGGACCATTTTTATCATGAAAAGGGCAGTGTTTTGTTCTGACTGGATTAAACACTTTATATGGATTTGCCTTCTCTACATACAGTGTGACTTCCAGAACTAGTGTCCATGGACTTACAGTATCCCTTAACTACCATCATGTTATACCACATAGCATCACGTCAGATCAAGGGACTCATTCATAGCAAATGAAATGTGAAAATCAGCCTCCCATGCCCAGGGAATTAACTGGTCTTACCATGTTTTTCTTCATCCTGAAACAGCTAGCATGACAGAACAATGGAATGGCCTTCTAAATAACATGATTACAGCATCAGCTCGGCGGCAGTACCTTCTTGGATTGGGACAGTGTTATCCAGGAAACTGTATATGCTCTAAACCACATCCAATACGTGGTTCTGTTTCTCCAATAGCTAGGGTTTGTGGGTCCAGGAACCAAGGGGTAGAAATGAGAGTGGAACCACTATTACTCCTAGTGGCCCACTCTTAAGATTTTTGCGTCTTATCTCCTATAACCCTATGCTCTTCAGGTCTGGAGGTCCTAGTTTCAAAGGAAAGGGAATACATCCACCTGGAGATGCAATGCTGATTCCTTTGAACTGGAAATTTTAAATGCCCCTCACCCTCGGCCACTTTGGGCTCCTCATGCCTCTGGATCAGCAGGAAAAGGGAGTTACTGTATTGGGTGGTGTGCTTGATACCATTTACTAAGGGTAAATCAGATTGCTTTACATAATAGAGATAAAGAAGAATATGTTGAATGCAGGAGATTCCTTAGGACATCTTAATACTACCATGTAGAAAGCTATAACATTCTAACTCCAACATAACTCTAATGACCCAGACTTAACTGTGTATCTCAAGGAAATAACTCACATGGTTGTAGATGCTGGCATGTCCCAGGTTCATGAATCAGATGTCAGACTGGCAGCTTCTCCTAACTCACATAGCTGTGGTAGTGGTGGTGGTAGTGTGCCATGGAGTCGATTCTCAACTCAGAGCGTCCTTGTACAGGGTTTCTGAGGCTGTAAATCTTTACGGGAGCAGAGAGGCTGATAAAC